GTAGTAGTAGCAGTAGTACTAGTAGTTCGTACGACCATCGAAGGCTACCGGGCGCGGCATCTGCAATCGGCTCACACAAATGCTTCCTCTGACTCAGTCCAATCTACGCATTTATTTGCGGCGGTCCTGAACAGCCGAGACTGTTTGAAACCGTGGGTCGTTCCAGAATACTTCCTAGACTAACAGGGTTTTGACTGTGATCCATCTTTGTATTGACGGCTGCGCCGTTACCCCCCGTAAACCCCAAACCCACAACCCTGAACCCTAAACCCTAAACCCCAAACCCTAAACCCGACATCCTGTAACATGAGCCGATCGTTTTTCGGCCTGCGTTGAAGCTGGGAGCCGATGATGGCAGCCATACAGGCATCCGCGGGCTGAAGACCTCGTGGGCTCTATGAGGCTACTGTAGGGATCTAGGGTCTAGGCGACTGTTAACTAACCTAAGGGGATTTCGAAAGGATTCAAGAAGGTCAACTCAAGGGCTTTGCAAGGGCTCTATCAGACCACCAAGAGTCAAGAGGTTCGTGAAAGATAAGGGTTCTGTAAGATCTTGAAAGGGCTTCATCAGGTTATTATGAGGGTCATGGTGTTCCTACACACGATCTATAAGACTACCAGTAGTTAGTAAGAGGTTCTTGAAGGGTTCAAACAGGTTATTATCAGGGTCTGCTCAGAAGGAACATATAAGATTATCACAGGGATCTTGGTGAAGAGGCCTTATGTGTCTGTAATATAGAGGCCTTAATAATTAGACTAGGGTTTTGGGCCCATTATACGATAGTTATAATAAGGAACCTGCAAAATCGCATATGTAATTATTAAGGCCCCTATATTCGTCATGAGTCCTGGCGTCTTCTACCAATCGCGCTGCGCTGCCTACCCTGGGCCTCTGCGTGGTTCAAGAAGGGAAGAAGTGGCGGTGTATCTCTTCCCATAGGCCCTAAAGTAGTTCCTTTTGGGGGTTACCTTATAGGATTCTATTTATGAACCCCAAACAGGAACTACTTTAGGGCCTATGGGTGGTAATAAGACTACTGTCCGTGGGCTATGAGTACATCATCTTGATTCGCGGGGTCAGGTAGCAGCTTATAGCTCAAAAACATCAGTACGGGGCATTCTCATGACGATCGTATTGCGACTCGCTTCATTTTGAAGCACTACCCTTCTGAACTGAACAACAGCATGACTGTGAAGCTTAGCCCTAAACCCTGAACCTAGTCCCAAGTGTTTTCAACCATTCCGAAGTCCACGGCCGCGAAACCCTGGTGCCTGAGGCCACACAATGACCCCCAAGGATCCTTTTAGGGTTTCTTAACGGCTCGGGGTTCCTGTTCGGGGTCCTCCGATCGTTTTTTCTTAGGATGCGTCGGGTTCCATCGGCGTTGTTGGGTGCTTTTTTTCTGGTGAAGCCTTCAGGTAGAAGGAGAGAGGCAAGTGACGCCGGGGAACTGCCGCCAAAACCTGGCACGAGAAGAACTTGTCATTTAGGGCTTCGGGCTTGTAATGCATCTCAGAAGAATTTTTTCGACTCTTCGGCTGTGGGCCTGGCACAAGGTTAAGGTTTAGGGTTTAGGGTTTAGGGTTTGGGGTTTAGGGTTTAGGGTTTCGGGTTCAGGGTTTAGGGTTTGGGGTTTAGTTTGCTTGAGCACAGCATGTAAGCAAAACCACATCAGGTCGCGTGTGTTTGACACCGCCTCTGTGGGTCCGTCACTTCCAGGTTTCGTTGTCTCGTGGACATATGGGTAGTTCTCTGAATTAGGGTTTAGGGTTTGGGGTTTAGGGTCGCTTTGTGGGGTCCCCAATATAGTACGGCACCCTTATAAAAAGGACCCCAAAAGGGACCCTAAATTAGAGAACTACCGATATCAGTCTGAGAAACTAGCGCAAGTCAATTGACCATTGTGTTCCTGTGACAATCGTCTATCACACATACATATAGGTACAGTACAGTATCTGATCGTGTTATCCATCTCTAGGAGCACTAAGAAATTGCATACGTCTTGCACTACCGCTTTCCTACATCCTTCGGCCACCTCGGCTGCAGCCACTACAGCACTACTGGCTGCTCTAGAACCCCGTTGCCGTGCAACTAGGTTTAGGGTTTAGGGTGTAGGGTGTAGGGATACCAAGCTGTAATCTTCACTCACCCAGTTCTCGAGCCCGCAAGTTCCCGCAAGTGATCACGAGTTGCTTGAGTCTAGCATTTGTGGCGCCGCGCTGTGCAGTAGAAAAGTGTCGGGTCAGGTACGCCCACCTTGCCGGAGACGATATGGCTTTGGTGAAAGACTGAATCGTGCAACTCGCAGACCTCAACATGCAACGAAATCAGACTGAAAAGGAGTCTCGGATCTGTATGGAAGATTGTTTGTTGGTGAGAATAACAATCCTGCTGGAAGGAGCCATCTGTATTGCGCGCTCTGATGCAGGTGGTGTCTTTGCACAAAAGGTCTCAGTACTTAGGATTGGTCCCTTGTCTATCTTCAACCGCCATCTGGGCTGGCGGCATCACCTTTGACAATGACATCGGTATCCAAGTACACGATCCTTCAACGGGCAGGGACATGCAATCAGTCGGTGGCAACGTGAAACAACCGGCAAACGATGACACTTGCGGGAAACTGCATGGCGACCTCACTCTACTTAGTCTTTGGAACCGACGAGCGGTTGCTCGGCATCCCTTACGCGCAGGGTCAGGGCAGTTCTCGTCAACCAGCACCATACGTGCTCTTAGACCTTAATCGCTGCAAGCCTTGCAGGACACCCAAAATCCCAAACCCGAAGCCCAAGCCCAAGCCCGTCAACAGCCTCTGCGCATAGGGGATCCACTTCCCCAGGTGAAATCGCACGAAGTTATGTGGCGCATTGAGGTCGCCAGCCTACAGAGGACTTACCGCGAGTTCATTTATGGCCTCAATAATGTGAGCAGGGTTCTACAAGGCCCAGCGTTTTACGTGTGTGTATGTATGTATGTATGTACGTATGTATGCATGCATGCATGCATGTATGTGTGTAGGTGTGTGTGTGTGTGTACGTATGTGTGTGTGTATATGTATATATATATATATATATACACAGACACACGCATGAAGGGCACTAATCAACAGCAAGAGGGCTTTCGGGGATATTATTGCACCTGTCTGTAGAAAAAATATATGTATATCTACATAAAGAGAGAGGTACATGCATGTGTACATGAAAGATCTATAGGTGGATACATAGATGTGATACAAAAACTCAATAACTGTTTGACAGATAGGCAGATAGGTTCGAGAAATAGGTAGATACGTAGATAGGTACGTAGCTCGAAAGATCGATAGATAGATAGATAGATAGATAGATAGATAGATAGATAGATAGACAAATAGAAAGATAGATAGATTTGTAGTTAGATAGATAGATGGATAGATAGATAGGTAGATAGATAGACAGATAAACAGATAGATAGACAGACAGATAGACAGACAGATAGATAGATCGATGGGTAGACAAATAAATACGATAGATAGATTCGAGAGATAGATTCGATAGATAGTTCGATGGATAGGTCGATAGCTACGTATGATAGGTACATAGATAGACAGATAGGGACTACAAAACGACACTTTTACTAAGTAATCTTCCCCTGTAATACGAGGGTGTGAATCATGCGGAGCACACGGCTTGGATTTACCACACACGCATGTCAAGATCGGAATCTGGAAGAAGACAGGAGACCATGCAGGACTCCAACGCGGTACACACGCCGCCACAGACGAGCTTATAATACATCATATTGATATGTATCGACCCCCGCAAGGTCGATGAAATGCACAGCCCGCGTTCCGAAATGAACCACGACTCAAATGAAACGACATGCCAGGCTTGTGGATCCCCCTATCTTTTGAAAAGCAAAAGCGAAGCCCAACACACAAATCCTACTAATCCCTCCTGCAATCTGCTGCCTCAGCCTCGAGTCTGCGACTACTAGGGTTTAGGGTTTAGGGTTTAGGGTTTAGAGCATGACTACAACAAGAAATACGTTAAGCGCAGTGACTTTAATGGTGAACGCAACAGTTCAAAAGTAGCCATAATCGCAACAAGCCACATGCCAACCATAATGGTAACAACAGTAATGCTAATCAGAACCATAACAGGAAACCGAACAATAACACTCACAAGAAGTGCATAAATAGTCAAAGTGGCCGCAACCAGAGCAATGAAAACAATAACAATAGCCATAATAAAGATAACACCAGAAGATAACCGAAATAATCAACATAATGGCAGCCGCCACAAATAGTACTGCTTGGAGGTTCATGGGTAACGGGTAGTTATAAGTGGGGTTATAAGTATGGTAACTGTAATTCTAACCCATATTAGAAGACTTATAACCCCATTTCTAACTATCCATGAACCTCCAAGTAAACCCTACACCCTGAACCCTAAACCCTAAACCCTATTTCTACCTAACGGCCCGGGTTTTCTAGGGCTCCGAGCTCGGGTTTGGGGTTCCGGTTTAGGGCTTAGGGCTTAGGGGGTTTAGGGTTTACGGTAATGACAGCAGTCACAAATAATACTAAGTATATCAACCCTAAGCCCTGAACCGACAGTAGCAGCAGCTGCTCCCCGCTTCGAACTTCGAGCCACTCCCGCCACCCCGGGAGATTGAGAAGGTAAACCGCCAGCTTGGGTCTTGTGGCTTTGGGCTTAGGGGTTAGGATGTTCTTGTTGAGGGCTCTTTGGGTTTTGGAGTTTATTTTTATTGTTTTGTGTGAGAGCTCTTTGGGTTTGGGAGTTTATTTTTCTTGCTTTTTGTGAGAGCTCTTTGGGTTTAGGGGTGTTTAGGGCTTTGGGTTCAGAGCTTCGTCTTCTCGGTTTCGGGCTTAGGGGTACAGGAAAGGTTTAGGGTTTAGGGCTTAGGGTTAGGGTTGAACGTGCAATTTACAGTTTGGTGTCGAGCGAAACTTTGTGCCGGTTCTATGGAACGATCCCTGCCTGGCGCTTGCTTGAAGGACGCTCGGACTCAGTAACTAGGGATATAGATGAGGTAGCTGTAGGTATACATACTTATCACCCCAAGTAAGGTACTTATAGCCTTACTTACTATGTCCCATGATCCTCCAATAACCTTAAACCCTAAAACCCTAAGAAGGGTCTTTGAGTCTCGGGCTTTGAGGGTTAGGGTTTAGGGTTTAGGGTTTAGGGTTTAGGGGTTTAGGGTTTAGGGTTTAGGGTTTAGGGTTTAGGGCTTGTGGACTGGGTCTTTTACACCCCCGTCAGAAGAACTTATTGGTCAAGCCCGTCGGCTTAGGTAGGGGCACGAACAACAAGCAAACTAGGGTTTGGGGGTGTAACATAGTAATGTTATAACAAGGAGCCCTGAGGCATGCGATTGGTGATTATTCAGGCGTCCGTATTACGCAATTCCCGAGTTCAGGACAGCGGAACCTGCTGGAACCGATTGCCGATGGGTTTATTGCCTTTTCCGATGGCTTCGAATGGTTACAATATAGACAAAGGTCTAGATCATCCCAGTACCGTGGGTGAACTCCAACTCACCCGGCCTCCACTGTCACGCCCGCATCGACGGCCATCTCGTCCGAGAGCACCTGCCAATGGGGGTGGGGACGTAAATGATTCGACAGATCCTAAACCCTAAACCCTAAACCCTAACCCTAAACCCTAAACCCTAAACCCTAAAACCCAAAGGGCCTGTGCCAGAGAACCCTAAACAGGATCCAGTGGCTACCACGGCATCTAAACCCTCTCCCCGTCGACGTGCGCTTCTGGCCGCTCGGTGTTCAACACTTGCCGCACTTTGGCGGACATCAGTTCCCCTAAACCCTAAATCCCCAACCCTAAACCCCCTAAACCCTAAACCCTGAATCCCCAACCCTAAACCCCTAAACCCTAAACCGACTAGAAGAGAGCCTCTGGCTTGTTGTGAGGGCTGGCATGCAAGTCTTGAGTCTGGATATTCACTAGTACATCGTAGTTTCGACAACGCGTGTAGGGTTTAGGGTTTGGGGTTTAGGGTTTAGGGTTTAGACTCAGGTTTGATGCTTGAGGAATCATGGCTATGAATTTCAGCATAGAGGTTTCGGGAGCTAGAGAACCCTTATTAATTTGCAGCCGAACGGCTTCAGTCAACGATGCAACTAGTAAGCTCAGCAGCCACCACAGCACCCCTTCCAAGCTTTGCCAGCCCCTACCTTACTGTCTGGCTTTGAAACCATTTTCTCAAGCACCCTGAACCCTAAACCCCTAAACCTGTACCCAAAACCCCAAAACCCTAAACCCCTAAACCCTAGACCCTAATTAAACCTTAAGGCCTTTCTTCAATCTTTTCTTGGCTGACTTCTGAACCCCTCCAAAAAAGTTAAACTGTTAGTCTTCTTGTTATAGTTCATATAGAAACCCCAAAAGTTAAAGTCCCTAAACCCTAAACCCTAAGAGCCAACCAGAAGAACACCATTTTTGTTGCGCCTCAGACTCTGTGAAGATGTGGATTCTCACTGCCACGCCTGAGGAGAGCTCGGAGAGGCGGCTTGGGTGAGCGAGCCGAAGCCGGCCCGCTTCCTTTTTAGGGCTTAGTATTTCGGGTTTAGGGTGTAGGGGTTTAGGGGTTTAGGGGTTTAGGGTTTAGGGTTTAGGGTTTAGGGTGTAGGGGTTTAGGGTTTAGGGTTTAGGGCTTACGGCTCAGTATTTGGAGTTCAGGGTTCTCTTGCGACAAGACTGTGGAGCTCTAAACCCTAAACCCTAAATGTGCAAGCCCGCCCGTAGAAGGCTTCCCTCCCATCCCACGCCGTAAAGAAGGCGGCCGAACCCGTCCCTCTAAGGCAGGGCCAGGAGACGCCAGGGTTCAGAAGTTTAGGGTTTTCGGCATAACGCCCGAAACCCTTAACTAACTCCGTTTTAATCCCTATTGAACATGTGGTAAAAGTCCCTCAGCCCTTTGTCATCCTAAACCTCCAAGATTCTCGGATCTTAAGCACTGTGCAAACCCATAAGACTTCCTAAAACCCTTTACCAAACACTTAAGATTGCATATACACCCTCGTAACCCCTACATAAACCCCAAACCCCTATAAACCCTAAACCCCTATAAACCCTAAACCCTAAACCCTTAGAAACCCCAAACCCTTATGAACCCCAAACCCCCTATAAACCCCAAACCCCTATAAACCCTAAACCCTTAGAAACCCCTAACCCTTAGAAACCCTAAACCGAACCCAGAACTCTTCCCCCTGATAAGGTAAGGAAGATCTTTCCGGTGAGATCTCTACAGTAGACACGTATAGAAACCGTAAGCCATCACATGAAACCCTACAGTTTAGGGTTTAGGGTTTTTGGTTTAGGGGTTTATGGTTTAGGGTTTAGGGTCTAGGGTTTAAGGTTTAGGGTTTTAGGGTTTAGGGTTTAGTTTAGGGCCTAAACCGTAAACCCAAAGTCCCAAACACAAAGCAAGCCCTCCAAGAGCGTTAAAGCTGGATGGGAACCCCGGAAGAAACCTTAGCAAGATAGGCCCACCTCCGATAAAGAGCCCGTCCGGGTCGGCTTCATCCTGCGCTGAACTACCTGAACCCTTTTAAATCAAATCCTGGGGTCGGAGGATCACCATTCGCTCACAGTCCCCAAAAGCCAAAGTATAGCAGACCCCCAAAAAAAAACCTACTCGAATTCTTGGACTCCCTACTACTATGGTTTCCTTCTATGCCTTTAAGAAGGGTAAGCTGGGGTTGTTTAATATAGGGTATATTATACTATAAGCATCATAAGGAGCCCCCAAAAAGAGTACAGGTAATTATTAAGGCCCCTATAGTAACCTCGATGCCTGTCAGGGGGCCGAGGTCAGGGTGTACGGATTCTTGTTAGCGTTTGGGGACAGTCGGACGAGAGGACTTCAACATGTTGGGGTGCTGCGGCTTCGGGTTTAGGGGTTTAGGGTTTAAGGTTTAGGGTTTAGGGCTTTGGGTTTAGAGTTTAGGGTTTCGGGTTTAGGCGTAGGTTCTTGAGGGTTTTCAGGATTCTTAGGTGTAGGGGCTTTAGGGTATAGCTTTTGGGTTTAAGACTTTACGGTTTGCTGTTTTTGGCTTTTGCAGGGTTTCGCGCGTAGGGTGTGCGACTGCTGGGTTGTTTGGTAGGGGTATGTAGCATCCGTATAGGCCAAGCCAGAGGGTAGAAGAAGATCTAGCAAGTGGGTTTAGGGTTTTTTTTGGGGGGGTCAGGCGCCTACACCCTATTACAGCGGAGGCTGCGGATAAGCGCTGTCATGCGGCTTAAGGTTTAGGGTTGTGCGGCTTAAGGTTTGGGGTTGTTTTTTTCAATCAGTGAGTTACAACCAGAACATTCCACTCAGAACCCGAAGAAAGAGCTGGTACCACAAAGCTTCTTCGAAGCAATGGCAACCTTCAAGTCGAAATCCCGAGACCGAAAACCCTGAACCCCAAAAACCATCTAGGGTTTACGGTTTAGAGCTTAGAGGGTTTAGCGTTTATAGGGTTTAGGGTTTAGGGCTTCTAGGGTTTAGGGTTTAGGGCAGAAAACATTTCAAACTCCACCACCCCTCTCTCACGCAACCCCGGGATTCCCCAACCCCCGAAGATTCCGAAAGAGATCGATCCCGTCCCTGATCCCCATGATTGATACGATATAGATATAAAACAGCGGGGATACTATCTGGTATAGAACTTACTTTTGAGATGAAAGAGTGTAGACACAATTCACCGAACCCGAACCCGGGGACTCCAAAACAATTAAATTCTTTATAGTAGGTGTCCTTGATCAGGGGCCCTGGCTAAGGGACAGTGGAGTCTCTGAAATCCGAAACCACTCAAACGCTAAAGCCTAAGCCCTAAAACCCCAAACATGAAAACCGTGCACCCTAAACACTAAGCCCGTAAACTAAACCCCTAAACCCCGGAACCCTAAACCCTAAACCCCTGAACACCTGAACCCCCACACCTCTGAACCATAAACCCCTGAACCCTCAAGCCCCAAGCCCCTGAACCCCAAACCCCTGAACCCCAAACCCCTAAACCCTATCAGCCCTAAGGAGGAGGTGGAGTCTTGCAACAAAAGCCTCCTCGGGTCCTCGGCGAGGCGATCCCGGAAGCTGCAACCCAGGGCCTGGGAGGTTTTGGGGCTTCCGGGAGTCAAACAATTTCAGAAAGGGGGGGGGGGTTAAGGTTTAGGGTTTAGGGTTTTGGGTTTTAGAGTTTAGGGTTTAGGGCTTTAGGGCTTTAGGGTTTTGGGCTTTAGGGGTTTGGGGTCTTGGGGTCTTGGGGTTTGGAGTTTCGGGTTTAGGGCTTAGGGGTTTAGAGTTTAGGGTTTAGGGTTTGGGCTTGCGGGGTTTGGGGGGAGTCCGAGGTTCTTTTTGTCGGGGTTTTGGGGGTTTTGGTTCAGGGACTTAGGGTTTAGGGTCTTGGGTTCAGGGACTTAGGGTGTTTAGGGCTTGAGTTTCGGGGTGTACGGGTGCGACCTCTCCTGGTTTTCATCTGGGGCTCAGCTGTTCAGCACAGTTCAGGATCCTAGTAGTAGTCAGGGTTCAATACTTGGGTCCTGTGCCTTTGGAGCCTGAAACTGCCATATAAAGACTTTGCGCAGTCTTACAGAAATGTCAGGAGATTGTAGACCGCCTTACTTGCAGGTTCATGGCTAGTTATGAGTGGGGTGATAAGTAGGGTAGTTACAATTATAACCCATATTCGGGGACTTATAGCCCGACTTATAACTACCCATGGAACTCCAAGTAAGACATTTTGAGACAACTACTTTTAAAGTGTACTGAGGCTCACTCACTCAGACCATTCACTTACAGCTGCGGTGTTTACAGAGAAGGGTCCTCGGCTCAGGAAACAAGCACGGTACGAGAGTTTGGGGTTTAGGGGCTGTCAAATGACACCACGAAACCTGCAAAAGTCTTAGGGTTTAGGGTTTAGGGTTTAGGGGTTTAGGGTTTAGGGTTCAGGGTTTTGCCTGAACCCTAAACCCTAGACACTGGAGAGCCGGAGAAGCCCCCTGTGCAGCCCTGAGCAGCTCCGGTTTGGGGTGTAATGTAGGGGCCTTAACATTTTGAATAGGGCTTTGGGGGGTTCCATATCTAATGGTGGTATAATATACCCCAAACCCTATTTTGATCAATAAGGCCCTCATATTAGGCCGGTTTAGGGTTTGGCTGCGCAGTTCCGGGTTTCGGAAACTGGGGCGACAGTTGAAAACCCGTCCAGCTTCTAGTACGTGCATCATAGAGTATCATGTAGTATCATAGAGTATTGGCATTATAGATCATACCCAAAACTTACCAAATACCCCGAGCCCGAACCGGAATCCCTAAGTGAAGCGTTGAGGCCGTCATCCTCACAGCCAAAGCCCAGCAACCAACAAAACCCTAATTAACCCTAAACCCCTAAACCCCTGAACCCCTAAACCCAAAACCCAAACCCCCTTAACACTGAACCCTAAACCCTTAACCCCTAAACCCTCTCCTTCATATAAATATTTAAACCCTATTGGATTTCGTGGGCATTGAAAATTTCGGGCTCGTTTTTTTCAAATGCCCACGAAGCCCGGCCCGTTTTTTTCAAATGCCCAC